CCTGCAGTGCATTGTGGGGTGTGGCGACATTATGACTTCAGCCTACCAGATTCTGGTAATGGTGTCCATCTGTATGACACCCACAGACACATCGGGTGCTGCTCAGAGTGGAGAGGTGCAGAAGGGGTCTGGGACAAAGCTGCCCTGCCTACGACTGGTTTAGTGGAACATTGTCATGACTTGTGTTGTTTTCCCGTTACTGGAGGATGCAGCTGGAGCCAGAGAGCCCTGGGTATCCGAATCCTCACCCTGGGGACTGAGTGACAAGTCAAGGCTGACTACTGACTTGTGGAGAGAGGAAGGCCCTAGACTCACGGACCATCTTTGCTCTTTTCATTCTGGGTCTTCTTAGGCAAACAACTGGCCCAACCCTGGAGCGATAATTAGACCCATCTTTTCCCCTCCCCACCCCAGCTCAAACCCTCAGCTTCACCCAGTTTACAATGATGACATTGTTCGAGCTGTGCTGCACATATGTGGACACTATAAAGTGTTTAATCTCGCAGCAGAGACCTCATTCCTCGGCTCCGCCTCCGTTCCAGCATCCCTGTAGGCTGCAGACTAGGACAGAAAGATGCCCCGCCCCCCGCCGATGCCAAAGCAGCCCCGTGTTCAGGAGAGCTGGTGTGGGGACTCTGGAGGCCTGACCAGCACTGCAAATACTTGATGTAGTCACAGAGCTACGTGGCAGCCAGATGAGTGTGAGCCTGCGGGGGAGGCCACGGGCTGTAGCTCAGGTGCCGCTCAGGACAAGGCCAGCACTGGCTCAGAGTGGCGAGGCCCTGGTCTGTGGGCCTCCAGGTCTCTGTGGCTGTAGCCAGGGACTTTATACTGAGCCTCAGTCTGGTCAGTCATGAGATAAACCCGCCTTGCAGCAGGGGCCTTGTAAGGATCAAGGATGTAACGTGTGGGATAAGGATGGGTGGGTATCTAGGTCAGTGAGAGGGTGTGTGTGTGTGTGTGTGTATGTGTGTGTGTGTGAGATGGCTGGAGGTCAGCCGGAGGTGTCATCTCTCAGAAGCTACCCATCTTATTTTTTAAGGCAAAGTCTGTCTGACCTGAAGCTCAGTAATGATCAAAGCTGGCAGACCAGTGAGCCCACAGCTCACTGTGAGCGTGTCCAGCTCTCCAGTGCTGGGGTCACGGGTGCATGCCACCATATCTGGCTTTTCCACACGGGTCCTGGGGTCATCACCTTCTTTCCCATCCGTGTCATAACCGTCTCTGATGGAGAAGTTGGGTCACAGTGACCTCTTGGTAAAGTGGGCGGCGGCTGTGGCTGACCGTGGTGCGGGTGGAGTTCCTCTTTAATGTGCTTTTAGGTGCCAGCCACCACGTGGGTGCTGAGAGTTGAACTCGGGACCTGTGGAAGAGTGGCAGCCCGTGCTCTTAGCCTCTGAGCCACCCCTCCAGCCCCCAGAGTTCCTCTTGGTAACAAACAGAGTTAGCATGTGAGCCAGCCGTCCCTGTTTTTTTAGTCTCTGTCCAAAAGAACCCAAAGCAAAGTCTCTAGGGACAGCCTGAACATCCGTGCCAGCAGCGGCATAACAGCTGAACAGAAGCAATCCAAATCCCGCCGGAGGATGGATAGATAGCAGGGTGTGTCTGTCCGTAGGATGGAATAGTACTCAATCCAAATCCCGCAGGAGGATGGATAGATAGCAGGGTGCGGTCTGTCCGTAGGGTGGAATAGTACTCAGCCTTGAAAAGGAACAGTCTGATGCCTGCCTGTCATAACCTGGCGAATCGTGCGGACATGGCTGAGTAAAATGACCCAGTCACAGGGTAGACTGATGGGAGGTCTACTGAGGAATGCAGCTCACAGTGACTGAGGTCACACAGCCGTCTCTAGTGCCGGGGAGTGGCGACCAGAGTAAGTGGTTAATGAGAACAGAGTTCCACTTCTTCCAGAGGAACATTCTAGAGACAGCCGAGTGTGAGCCGGCTCACAACCGAGTGACGTGTGTACAGGGGGCAAGACCGGGTTTTGCTGCCCACATTTTCCCAGGTGAACATTCAAGTCTAGCGGCTGTTGGGGGCCGGAGAGATGGCTCAGCAGTTGAGAGCACTGGCTGCTCTTTCGGAGCACCCGCGTGGTGGCCCGCAAACCACCCATAACTCCAGTTCCAGGGGATCCAAATACCGTGGTCTTGCCTCCACAGGCGCGCGCAGGCCCGATGAGCTCCGCCCACTTCTCTGGTACTGTCCAGCCCGGGCTCCAACCCAAACCTGGGCCTTCATAAGCACTGTGTTGACTGATGTGATGCGTATGGAAACTGTTGCCATGAAAACCGTCTCTTCCCTCCTCCAGGAGCAATGCGGACGTCCTGGCCTCTCTGGTGTGGCACTGTCCTGTTAGTGGGGGTACACACTTTGCTTTAGAGTCCCAGGGCTTCAGGGTCACTTAGTTTACCGTTCTCTCTCTCTCCTCTGCTCGCAGTTTAAGAAGTGAATTCTTCAGCCACCATGCCTGCCTAGAACCATTCTTCCTCACCGTCGTGGTGATGAACTCTGATGTCTGCTCATAAGCTCAAATAGACCCTTCCTCCTAGTATTGCTTTTCTTCTGAGATCTTCATCATAGCAGCAGAGAAGTAACTAATACAGTGTCCCTTATTTATTTGTTTGTTTATTTATTTTTGCCTCGCCAGTCCTTGGTTTTCTTTGGCAAGTGACCCTGTCCTGGTGTTGTGATGTGAACACCCACAGGTATATCCCATTGTCTGCACTCCTGGGTATTCTCCTGCCTCATCATTGAGAGTGGCAGACACTCTTTGCCATTACTGCTCAAGGGTCACCCTCCATGACGGCCAGGGCCATTACTGTTATCCTCTGAGGACACAGAGACATAAGAGCACAGTCACATGACCCAGGCCACACAGCTGAGCGGCACAGTGGAGACCAGACTTGGACCCCGGATCTCAGAGAACAGAGGTTGAAAGTGTAGGACTCTGAGTTCCACAGTTACCCACTTTGCACTGTGGGTAAGCTAACTGGCCTCCCCAGTTTCCTCACCTGCAAAGCAGGCACTCCTCCAACCTCACGGTGGCCAAAGCTATGCATCATGGGCATCTCCTAGTGCTAGCGAGACCTGTGCCCTCTGTGCCTTTGGGCTCCTCAGCCATCCTTGCTATGAGAGATGTCCCAGTCTGCTGTCTTCTGTTCTGTATGACCCTTTTGTTCGTCAGTGGAGCTGCTCTGAAGCCTGGGAGCCCAGGACTAAAGCTTGTGGGTTCTGACTGCACTCCAGCTGGGGGCCCATGGTGCTCCTGGGCAGACGCAGGGTAGCTCGGGCATCACCCTCATCCACCCAGAGAAGCATGGGCCACTCCAGCAGAAGGGGAGGGGAGAGAAGGGAAGGGGAGGGAAGGAAGGGCTCTTCTGTGGGAAGAGCAGGAAAGAGGGTTGGAAGACATGGTGAGGACATCTCTCAGCAGTGTGTGTGTATGTGTGTGTGTGTGTGTGTGTGTGTGTGTGTGTGTGTGTGTGTGTGTAGGGGGTCAAGAGCACTCTCCTGACACCTCCAGGGGACCACTGGAACCTGAGCAGAAGTTCCCATGGTAGCCTGGTCCCTATAGGTGAAGTCGCCCAAACTCAACTATGAGAGAGGGGGCGGGATGGAGGGAGGACTTAGAACTGCCTATGAGCCTTTGGATGAGGAGGAAGAGGTGCATCTGGTGTGATTGTGCTAGAGCAGACAGGGACGGGGCTGTTTGGCCAGGGTGAGAAAATGTCATGACTGGGGTGGTTTATGAGTGACTTGGGGGCTGCTTGTCATTGGTCTGTGAGGCCCAAAGCTGGAGCTCAAGAGAGGACTGGACACACATGAGCAGTTGGCTCCGGGAGACATCCAGGTATGAGAGCAGGCCACATGTGTGCCAGGGTTGTTTATATGCAGAGTGTTGGAGCCATTAGCACATGGGCGGTCATCTGTAGGTGGGGTCATTTGCATGCAGGGAGCCATCTGCCTGAGGGCTGTACCCATGTCCTGGGTAGATGAGCTCTCCCCGGGAGGCGTCAGAGTGCGAGGAGGCCAAGCCTGAGCCTAGGGAATACTTGCAGGGTGGGCAGAAGTTAGGGCCAAGAAGAGTGGTGGGAGTCAGGAGGCCCCTAACAGTTCCCACTGACGGAGAAACTAAAGGGTGGCGTCCAAAGGCTGGGGTCACTGCTGAATTCTTCCTCCTGGAGGCCGGCATGACTGTGGATGGCCATTTGTGTCCTAGCTGGCTACAGGGTGGTCCTTAGTGACTTTGCTCGGGTGGGGATGCTGTTGGGGTGTACCCTGGAAGCTCCTTCCTTGCGCGAGCAGATGGGGTGGTGTGGGCATTGGTCCTGGCTGTTCACTGCGGGACAGGATGCTCTGGGACTTGTGGCTGCCTCCTGAGCCTCAGGCTTTCATGTGGCTTCACCCTTCCCTGTCCCCATTCATAGGACTACCCCCCTGTAGCCCATGTCCCGTATGCACCGTCACAAATCAACTTGGGAAAAGAATATTGTCTTAGTTAGGGTTACTATTGCTGTCATGAAACACCATGGCACCTTCGTTGGACAAGGTTCACGTTCACCACTGAGAGTTCTCTACCATAACATTGCCAGTCACTTATGTGAATCAGGTCCCTCATACAGGGCAGCCCCGTTTTCCACATGGTGAAACCGGGTGTCAGATGATGGGGCATCGGGAGTCTTTGGCTGCCACAGTGCTTAGTGGCCAAGGCTGGCTTCGAACCCCGTCCCGAGCTTCTGAGACTCCTGTCTGGTTGTGCTCAGTGCTCTACTCTCCCCCAGCAAGTTGGGTGCAGAGACATGCTCTTGTTGTTCACGATGGCCCTAGGGTCTGCGCCCCTGACCGTCGGGTCCCCAGTGTGTCTTTATGGGATGGAAGGTTTTTCACAAAGGTTTGCCAAAGGCGGTGTCCGCCCTGCTCAGGTCAAATGCACAGACGGATGGAGACGAGCCAGACACTAAATGTTTCCGGTGCTGGTGTGTTCTCTTCCCCTGCAGTGGAACATGACAAGGAACTCTTCCATCCCCGCTACCACCATCGGGAGTTCCGGTTTGACCTCTCCAAGATCCCCGAGGGGGAAGCGGTGACTGCAGCTGAGTTCCGCATCTATAAGGACTACATCCGGGAGCGGTTTGACAACGAGACCTTCCAGATCAGGGTCTACCAGGTGCTCCAGGAGCACTCCGGCAGGTAGGTTCTGCCTTGTGCGGGAGCGGGGGCTGAGCTTACCCCAGCTTCAGAGGAAGGAGCGGGGGCTGAGCGTGGGGCCAGCAACGGTCCTGGTGGCTTCCACTATTGGGCCTTAGGCCAGATGGCCGCCTTAAGGTGTGTGATGTGCGCGTGCTCCGTCAAACTATGACCCTGTGTGAACTTGGTCAGGGATACTGGCAGGGCCAGGAAGCCTGGGAGCCTGGGCCTGGGCCTCCCTGCACAAGACTACGTGAATCAGTCTAGGTATGGTGGTGTGCAGGGAGCAGGGGGAAGGGGAGGGAGGGCTGGTGTTGATGGTCTTTCTATTCACTGCTCTGAGCCCTGGGTGATGTCAGATCACCAAATGGAAATGGCCATTTGTAACCAAATGCTAAGGGGAGGAAAAGAAAAAAGAAAAAGAAAAAAGAAACAATGAACCCAAAGCAAACAGCCAGAGAATTCTTGGCTGTCCAAGAATTGCTAGGTCAAGAACCAGAAGTTTGTTTTGAAGGACTTATTTCTCCAGCCTGGAGAAAGGTAGCGCTCAGAGATGATGGGTTGAGGGGGCTGCCCCTCAGATACATTCCAAAGTTCCCTAACAGCCAAGGCTGCCTTTCTTTCCTGCTGGGCTTTCCTATTCTGAGGCTGTGGGACTTTTATTGTCCCCACAGACACCGTGGCACAGAAGTTAGTGGGAGACTCTTCATCTGGGATGGGAACAGAGACAAGGGAAGCCTGGCCCAGGCACTGTGTCGGGCAGCTCATCCTGGTGGCTAAGGAAACAGAACGTCTGTGTGTGCGTGTTCCCAGTGTCTTGTACCCACGTGTCACTTCAGACACACACTAGCCCTCTGAAGTAAGCAGTCTGTGAAACGTGCAAAACCGAGGTGTGCCAAAACCACCGCAGGAGGCCAGCCAGAGAGAGTGGCCACACGGAGACTCGGCCCGGGCTTGGTAACTGGAGACCAGGCCCCTCAGGAGCTTTCCTGGTAGTAGATCAGTTGAAACTGAGTCCGGTGGTACTCCGCTGCCCAGGAGGGCTAGGATCCCTTAGTGACACCGTGTCTCAAACTGAAAGGCAAAAGAGAGGTCTGGGGACGTAGCTCAGTGGCGGAGTGCTCGCCTAGAATGCACAAGGCCCTGGGTTCAGTCCTCAGTGCAGCCAGGAGGAAGGAAACAAAAGTTGTCGATGGACCGCAGCTGAGGAGAAGCAGAGGCAGCTGAGGAGAAGCAGAGGCAGCTGTGGAGAAGCAGAGGCAGCTGAGGAGAAGCAGAGGCAGCTGAGGAGAAGCAGAGGCAGCTGAGGAGCTCAGGCCTCCTCTCACCACTGAGTTCCCAGGCAACCTCTTCAGCCCCGTTTCTCCTTCCAGATCTGTCAGTGGAAACATCCTCACTCAGAACTAGTGTTTCTGTAGACATACGCAGGCGACATCCTCACAGTCGCGTGGAGTGGACCCTCTCTGCCATAGGAGACACGGGGGGAACCCGGGTGAAAACAGTTGGGGTCATGCTGAGGGGAGGCTGACAGCCACCTCAGCAGGCTTCGAGAAGAGCACATCCACACACAGGTGCACACACGCATGTGCGTACGCACACTCACACTCAGGTACCCCCACACACACAGAGTTTTCAGAGGGAACAAGCCCTACTGACTCTATTTCTGAAGTCACAGCCTCCAGGGAGTCCAGGCCTAATGTTCCGGGCCACCCTGTTTGTGGGACTTCATTACTGTAGCACCCTGGGAAACTCGGATGAACCTCAACCAGAACTTTCTGTGACTTTCATGCTCTCTCTCTCTCTCTCTCTCTCTCTCTCTCTCTCTCTCTCTCTCTCTCTCTCTCACTCTCACATACACACACACACACACACACACACACACACACACACACACACAACACACCCCGCCATTTATTCCCACTATCTGACCTCTGAGATGGCATTTGGCATATGTGCACACAGAAGCAGCTGACAAATAAACCGTGAAGCCCATTATTTCATCAGTGGTGTGGCCCTGACTTCCGTGAAGCCGCCCGACTGGGCTTGTGGGCCTCTGGGCCTCCAGCACCTTCCAACATGGGGTTTGGCGGGTGTGCACAGGCATGGCGCAGAGACTCCCCCTTCCCTGGAAAAACACCATGCAAAGCTGTGGTATCAGGAAGCAAGTTCTGCACAGGTAAGAGGGGCTCGGGGTCAGAGGTGACCTGCAGACCAAATGGCCCTCAGCCACCAGGAGAGCACACGTTCCCGCAGGGAGAAGAGTGTGTGTATGGCCAGTCAGCCATCCGAGGTGGGTCAGGCAGGACTCACTAGATACCACTACATTCCGAAAGTCGGACCTCTCAATGAGGCGTTCTGAGAGGCGCGTTTGGAAGCCAGCAAGAGCCCTGGACACAGGGGATGGATGCTCCACTTGTTGGCAGATAACCTCTGGGTATAAGCCTTCAAGAAAGATCAAACACATGGCCCGGCTAAGAGTCTCGATGGCCTGGGGTGGGCGGTTCAGTGGTAGAGCACTTGCCCAGCTCACATGAAAACCCAGATTCGATTTCAAGCATTGCTTGCAAACAAGGTGCTTGGAACTCCAGAAGATGGGGCCATGTCCTCTTCATGAGGCTGGGCCTGGGGACCGAGGTAAGATCCACAGGACGCCTGGGTGTCTGGGGAGAGTCAAAGTCGGTCTGCACGGCCGCCTTCCTGCCCCCAGCCACCTCTGCTCCTTCCTGTTCCTGCCCGCTCATTCGCTCATACCTCTCTAGCAAGAAAGCCAAGCAGGGAAGAGAGCTTGGTGCAGGGCAGTGGGGGCTGTAAGCATAAACTAGAGCCATGCCAGGATGCCGTCTGTCACGCACCAGAGTGACAGAGATCAAAACGGTTTGGTAAGAGGCCTTCCTGAGTGTATGGGACCAGCCCTCTTCTCTCCTCCCTGGCTGGTGAAGGAAGCCCAGTGACGTTTGCGAAGGCCATGTGTGGGGTGCGCGTGTGCACACGTGTGTGTAACCCAGCCACGGTTCTAGAACTTCAGGCAGACATGATCTGAGTGAGAGGGCCACAGCAGGGCTGGGGAGGTGGCTCACCAGGGAGGGGCTTGCCGAGAAAGCGTGAGGAGCTGACTTTGATCAGGTGAAAGTGTGTGGCCGGGGAGGGAGCTGACTTCATCGGCAGCAGGAAGGCCGGAACAGTGAGCTACTAAACATTCTTCCTGAGCTCCACAGACAGAAGCGTTGCGGCCCTTCTCCGGGAGTTCAAAAGCTGTAGCTTTAAGTTTTTGTTTTCTGGGTCGCTCGCTCTTGAATCTAGGTGCTTCTCCAGAGGCACAGGGGTGGGCTAATCTAGTTTTGAGAACACAGATCTTGAGTGGTCATGACCTTGGAGCCTCAGTTTCCTCCTCTGACAAGGAATGGGCGTGGGGAAGGTTTTCGGAGACTGTCTTCCACGCAGTAAGAGCTCACTAAATGCTTAGTAATGGTCTGTTTTCCTGCCCGTTGTAGCGGGGAGAGTCCACGGCAGAGAGGAAGAGTTTCAGGCTTTGGCAGCAACGCCCTCTCTGGCCTTCAGCTTCTGAATACTTGAATACTTTAAACCTCAGAGCGAGCCTGGGGACACAGGCCTGAGCTGGGTAGAGAAGTATGGCTGCTTGGCATGCCTCCAGCCTTGCATCTTCCCTTACACACCTCCTACTTGCCCAGGCCGCTAAGGAGCCCGGTGCCCGTGCGTCCCGCAAGCCCCGCCGCCACGCTGGGCTCTGTGGTAACTCTGCTGCCACCAGCCACCCAGCTGTTCAGGACCTGGGACATCTGGCTCTCTGGCAGGCTCAGCTAAGCTCCAGGGACACTCCGGGAGTGCTGGGATTAGCCAGCTGTGGGCTGGCCTCAGCATCTCTCCCTGGTGGGAGTCACTTTCCATCAAGTCCTCTTGATCTCTTGGAGTTGGAGGCCTTCCATGGCCTGTCCCTGCCTCAAGCCCCAGACATCTGGAAAGGCAGGAGACATGTGCCACCCTTGGCCAGCTGTGGGAGAGTCAGGGCTCAGAGGCGGGCCCCGAGGGGATGGCTTGGTTCTGGAGGCTTTGCTGGATTGATGAGGGAGATCAACAGCTTAGCCTTATTTCCTGGACCCAGGGCCTGAGGCTGGACCAGCTAGCCTCCAGGACCCGAGCTTGCTTCCATCCTCTGGGTTCCATCCGCAGGTCAGGGGCCACACTAGGCACTCTATCCCAACCTGTGCGCTTGCTGGGAGCTTTCAGGCCATCCCCTCCTGCGCTGGAGGGCTGTGCTTGCACCAGGAGCCCCGGGAGGCCAGGCCCTGTCGCCACCAAGGTTGAGATGCCGTCTGCAGCTGGATGAAAAATGTCCCCTGCTCCATCACAGGGTCCTCGGCTGCCAGGATGGTGACCTCAGTGTCTCCCATGCCAGGACTTGGATCAACCGCGGCCTGAGTCACTGTGAGGGAGAAGGGGCTGTTTCTGCCTGTCCTTCCAGAGAGATTCGGGGCAGAGGAGGCCAAGGGGGCTGCTCACCAGCTCCCTCCTCAACCTAGTCCAGCCCTGATTGTGCCTGGGTGTCCCTGGGTGGGGACAGCAGCCTCCGCAGGACATCTGGGTCTTGTTCTCCACTGAGAAGAGGTGTCCTGTCCAGAGTGCCCCTGTTGTACGAACAGTGCCCACAGCTCTTCCCTGCAGTCCGCTGCAGCCAACCTCCACGGCATCCCAGCTGCTTTTCCCCCCTCAAGACCAGTGTGAGCAGGTGGAGCCCAGCTGCTTACCCACCCCAGGGCAGGCCGCACTGCTGTACCTCAGGATGTACAGGGAGGAGGGCCACAGGGGTTTGCTGGAAAGACTCGCTGGAGCTGAGGGCAAAAGAAAGGGCGTCTGGCCGCTACACCCCCACAGTGGCCACCACGTCTGGTCGCTACACCTCCAGGTGGCCCCTGGGGTGGCGCCTGGCCTCATCCTGTCCTCTGTGGGGACTTTCAGGTAGCTATCACTTTGGTTGTAGGCTCAGG